TTAAAGTTCCATGCCCCCTCTAAACCCTGAACCCGAGACCCGAAAGCCCTTAAACCCTAAACCCGAAACCCTAACTGAGGAATCCCCGAACTGCTGCACAGGATCCGGCGCCGCTCGAGGAGCCACGCAGGCTCGAACTCCGACCGAGACGGCCCAAACGGAATTTCGTCGTATTCGGTTTCGGGCTTAGGGTTTAGATACGGATACTTGGCACACGTATCTAAGAAAACCTTGATGATAGCCATCACACATGGAAGCAAGGCAGCATGTGCCAATGACACTTTGGACACCATGACACGCTGAGAACTGCTCTCAGTGGGAAAGGGTTGTGTCATTCTCGATTTGGCAGATGATGACTTACTGCAAGAGACACTCCGCCTCCACTACTACCCTCCGCGTTGTGGCCAAGCCTCGGAGATGCGGTATCCTGGTCAAGGCGATGTGTAACACAGAAGGTCTGTAGAACCTAAGAGGATCTTCGAGGGTGTAAACGAGAGAATAATCCTTCGAGAAACGGCCTACGTCAATCCGGTAAAGGACCTGCAGCCATGAACAGGAGAGACAAAAGTCCCAAAAGATTGGGCCGGGCCGCCGTCGTGCGGTTGCGGCTGAGAGCCGTCTTAGGCATGCAACTCTCCTAAACCTCAGCCCAAAGCTTGAAACACGTACTCCAGACTCTATAGCCTATACCGAATACCCTAATACCCTGCAGCCAGACACTTAGATCCCACACTAAATAACCCAAACCTGGAAGCTGCTCATCGGCGTGCGATCGCTGCGCCGTCCCGAACTGCATCGGGCATCATCGGGCTCCCTGGATTCGCCTTTCGACATCTTTGCTCGGTTCTGAACCAGCGTCGCCGAACCCGCATGAACCCGCTAAGCTGCTTCCACGCATCCTTTAGCGCGCAAGGTTTCATCAGCGTCGTAGTGAGAACCCTGACCTTGAGAGACGTGATCCTGCATCACGAACAGCTCTCAGCTTGTCATTATTGTTACACATCATCCTCGCGATGATGTGATCTGATGTGTATTGTAGATACTTCGCTGCGATGAATCCCCCGCCTTAGAGCTCCCTCTTTCAACGTCCGATAGCTAGGACCAAGCATAAGAGCTGGGGGTACCTCTCATGCTTCCTCCGGAAAGAGAACTGCGCGTCCCCTGCCAGGCGCATGCCCCGGCGTGCTGCTGGTTTAAGGTACGGCCAGAAATGGGCGAAGCCGGACAGGGGCCAGCGCCGGGGATGGGCCATCAGGCAAGAAGGCCGGAGGGGCTCTTAACCCTCCAATCCTCAAGCTTTCAAGGATACGACAAGGGTACTATAAGGGTTTCTATAACCCTTAAACCCTAAACCCGTAAACCCTAAACCCGTTCACCCAAAGCCCTAAACCCGCACACCCCAAAGCGCTAATCCACTCTCATTGGGGTGCCGGCAACTTCAATGTGGTCGAATGCCGGGATAAGGCTCAGGTGAGTAGTCATTCTGGTTTGCCGGATCGTTTCAAGTTCGAAGTCGCGATTCCGGGATCTTTTGTTGCATGCTTTTCGACGATGAGAGGCAAGGATCCACAGTGACTTAGAATTTTGGTCTCTGTGAAGTAGGGCTCGGGGTTGGGACGTCGGTTTAGGGTCAAGGCCTTTCGGGGGTTGCAGTCCAAGACACTAGGTTGGGTGTTTGGGGTGTTTTCAGTCCCGGCTAGCGACACGCAAATAACCTGAATACTACCGTTACGACAGGAAGCATTTACGACATACGACCCCGGTCTCCTAAACCCTACTCAGTGGCCGAGTAGATGGATGACCCCTAAACTTTTCTAGCTACGCAGAACTCTAGCCATAATTTCATATCTGGCCGACATCCGGGCCAGAAACTCAGCCACGAATGAGGCCTCCTCCGGACATGTTGCCAGGAGAAAGCTACTCTAGGAGGCCCGTATAGTCTCCGCAAGAAGCCCGGGTCTTGAATCCTAAGCCCTGAGCCCTGAACTCCTAAACCCTAAATCCTCAACCCTAAGCCTTACAACCCGGAGACTGCACCGACGCGCTCGCCCCGCTTTGTTTCAAAGGCATGTGATGCGGCGATGCGCATGGTAAGAGCCTCCATAAGCTCGAAGTTAGCTTCACCATCTTGTGACCGGAGGGCGCTTCTCAAGGTTACCCCAGGACCTTAGACCTTGGAAGCCGCCCCTAAACTTGAAAATCCCCCATTAACAAAACCTCAGGCAGGCCCCAAAACGGCGTCTGTGGACGGTTGAGAGGGTTTAGGGGCCCGAAAGGACCGAACCCACTCCAGGTCGCAAGGCGCAGAGGATCACCAAGGCGGCACAGTGGAAACGAGAGCCGAAGACTGAGGTTCAGCACTTCATGTCCGTGCGTGCGTGTCGTGCGTGTCTCTTTGGACTCTGTGTATGTATATACATATACATACATATATATATATATATTTATTTATTTATGCATGGTATGAAGTATCCTAGGTTCCTCCGAGAGTCCAGTGCCACATCGAGCCGAACCATCCTGCCCGGACTGCACGAGCTGGCACCTCGCTTGGCCGCGTCCGCCTTTAGGAGTCTCAAGAAGTAGACCAGGGTTTTGGGGGTAGATGGTAGGACAGGTATATGGGGACTAGAGTGGTATACTATTTCTCATGTGGTCATGTGGTAAGTTGCTGGCCATTTTTGAAGACCTCCCTGGCGATGTTTCGGGTGCAGGGTTGGGGGTTTCGGGGTGTCGGGTTCAGCTTAGGGTATGATGCTTGGGGTTTAGGGTTTAGGGTTTATAGGGGTTGGAGTGTACAAGTATTACAGTTTTAAGATGTGGGGTTTGCGGCCCCGAGTTCAGGGTTCCGGAGCCCCTGGGAGGTGGAGACAGCCATTGGCAACCTTCCCGTAGGATTCCAGACACGTCCCAACAGATTCTGGGAGTTTTGATCTCTAAGATCTAGATTCTAGATGCCACCAAGCCCCAGCGTAGAGGCAATCTAAAGGTCTGGGTAATTAGACAACCCTGAGGGCAGATATGATCAAGAGGCCTGAGTAGGTAGACTAACCAGAACAGGGGTTCGGGGTTTTACTCGGTAGATACTGTACATCCGGCAACCCGGGAGATCAGCGGACATAGCTTAGTTTAAGGAGGCGGGACTACGATTTTCGGGGGTTTGGGGTCACTATGACCACCTAACAAGTAAAAGTCTGTACTCCAAATGATCGTCTCGTCCTTTGACGATAGAGGCCCGTTAACACGGCTGGACTTCATCATTCATTTCATCATACTTAGGCTTCGGGAAATATTTGCAGTAGAGCTTTGAATTATCCAAAGACTCCTTGATCTGGGCTTGCGGTTTAATGATGTCGTCACAGCTGAAGTCGCGCGTGCACATGGTGCAGCGGCCACATTCGGAGTCTCTGGCGGTGGCTGCACAGTGTGGAGACGGAGGAACGCGAAACACCTAAACTCTAAGCCTCTATACGTCAGATACCCACCTGCATCTCTCGCCCATGCTTTCGGATTTAGGACGACAGGTGTGTCGGGCTTGAAGCACCGAAGGCATCCTAAAGGCATGAGTCATCCTCGGTTTCTTTATACCACCTGACGCCCGGGTTTAGGGTATCTTGGCATTTGGGTTGTGCTCGTTGGATTTACTTTAGGGTCTAGGATTTGGCAAATCGGACAATCTGTTGCTTCTACAGTAGCAGGGTTTGGACATGACGACCTTACCACCGGCAGCTTTGCTACCTGCTTTCCTCAGTTTCCGAGCCGCGTCTTCAACCTTGGGGCGGACACGCATGACGCGCTGTCACAGGCTGGATTGAGTTCGTACACCTTGGTGTCCGTTGTTATCAAGACTGATATCGGTGGTGGCGACGCAGAAGGTTGTGTTGAACATGGTCTGGACTATGTCTGTGACAATGACGATAAAGGTTGCTGGTGGTCAGCTGATGATGTTGATGATGACAACCATCATGGTCTTACAGAAGACAGTGGATTCCTGGGAGATTGACCTAGCCTCTGATCGCATACCTGCTGTACGACACATTGACATGGAGAATGGCATGCAGCATGTTCCCAAAGCCATGCTGATGTCTGTAGAAGGGCTTGCGTATCATGAGACGGCTTTAGCATCAGATGATTTTGCACAGCAAGTCCCGAGAAGTTACAGGACCAACAAGAGATCCTTCTCTGGACCGGACTTTACAAATACCAATATATGTATATGTATAAGGTTTTTGTATCTGTATTTGTATATGTATATGGATATGTATATGTACGTATATGTATGTATATCTGTATGTATGTACGTATGTATATATATATATATACATACACACATATAGGTGTGTGTGTGTGTACGCAGACAAATACACATACAGGCAACTGGAGATCTGCTGATTGCTGGAACCCAGCTTTGACATCATGCTGCGGTAGGGTATGGTGCGCGTTACTTTGCGCTTCTTTTGCCCACAGGATGCAGGAGTTTGTGAATTTCTGTGTTTCTCTCTGTTACAGTATCTACACTTCTGTCGCACGAGGTGGGAATGAGCAGCAGGGTGCGCTGGCATCTCAGGGCCCAAAGACTGGCTCGAGGACTGCCAGGTTACCGCGACCACTGCCGTTTCTCCTCCTCTAACTGCTGCTTCAGGAGGGCTGACTGCGGCAGCCTCGACAAGGCGCCTACCAGTTGGCAAGGACAGAGGGCGAACGCTAGCAGCTAAGGGTTCGGAGAGATGCAAAGGAGTAAAGATGTCGCCCGAGGAAATCGAAATGGGCTGCCCCTCCAATAGCATCCAACTGGGCAAGCTTTTTGCGGAGTGCCGTTCTAGCTGTTGCTAATGCAGATAAACATAACCGTCTTCGCCATCGTGTAGGCAGCTCCTATGCAATATCCACCCTCACAGAACCATGAGGGGTGATAAAAGCTCAGTCAGAGGGCAGCAGCAGCAGCAGGAGTTTACGTAGTCGCAGCACTGGTGCTAGCGACATATCCCACTGTCTCCCTGGAGGAATTGCCGGCTGTGCTGTCCGTGTCTTTGGGTACAGATCGCAGGAGCACTACGCAGCTCCTGCGATGCACTGGCCAAGGGTTCACAGTACCGAGTGTTGGAGTTCGTGGCACGCCACCCCCGACTGTAGGCAGAAACCCTTAGCCTTTAACGTCTCAACAAGGAGAGCTGAGACGACAAACTGAGTAAGGCCGAAGAGTCAGATCTAGGTTGTAGGCTTCAAGCATGTAGCTGCGAAGGCCTTGCGCCTTAGCAGTACTGATTCGGTACACATCTATGTATGTATGTATGTATGTATGTATGTATGTGCATGTATGTGCATGTATGTGCATGTATATGTATGTATGTGTATGTATGTGTATGTATGTGTATGTATGTGTGTTTATGCATATGTATATATGTGTGTGCGTATGTATATTTCTGTACATATATACATACATACATACACACATATACATACATACATATATATATATATGTGTGTGTACACACACATATATAGCTAGCTAACGAACTAACTAACTAATTAACTAACTAACTAGCTAACTAACTCACCAACTAACTAACCAACCAACTAACTAACTACCTAACCAACTAACTAACTAACTAACCAACCAACCAACCAACCAACCAACCAACCAACGAACGAACGAACGAACGAACGAACTAACTAACTAACTAACTAACTTACTAACTAAATAACTAGCTAAATAATTAAATAAATAAGCAAATAAATAAACCATCGTTTCGAGTGACATCGATTCCTTTCTCAGCCTCCGGCGTTGGCCATCCTACAGCCTCATGAGAAGACAAAGGACCTAAACTCTGAACCCTGAAGTCCAAGGCCTCAGTCTCCGCCCCCATGCCAGATGACTCGTTTTTCAGTACCGAGTTCGCCAGCAAAGCTCGGAAAGTCTACAAAGGTATGTAAGCCAAGGGCTTAAAGCCTGACTTCTTCAGCCCAAAACCCTAAACCCTACACCCAAAACCTTGCATGCGAGTTTTACTGCTCTGCAAGGAGCCGAGTATAGCACGGAAATAAGAGTCTTGCTGAGTCTTCAAGCTCTGAAGTTTTGAAGGCTCATAGGCTGGGGCCTGCGGGAGCGCGATGCCTTCGAGGAGGCTGGCAAAAGGGAGCAACTGCATGCCCTACCCAGACCTTCCAACTGTACTACCTTCGGCTGCGGCTTGAACGCCTTTGCTTTGTCTCGAAGTGGTTTGGACTGCTGGAGTTTGGTGTTCAGGGCGTTGTTAGCAATGCCTGGGACGTTGTCTGCTTCCGGGGTTAAGAACTTGCTCTTGAGTGTTGTAGAGCGTTATGAGCGTGGGTACGGGTGTTCATCAACGAATGCGTCCAGTCGAAGTTGGGTGTCTCGATACGCAGGCAAGCTGCAGAGATCAGGTGCCGGTAAGGGACCCTGACACGAAGCCTAGAGTAGGATCCTCTATATGAACGACCCTGACAAAATGACCTCAAAGTTTGAGAAGAGCCCATACGCAGGTTGCCATGCCGGAGGCAAGACGACTCGGTAACCTACATTGCTAAGCTCCTGGTGCTTTATTTCAACGTCCCTTGTTTCTGAAGCCCCCCTATAAACAGCCTAAAACCCTAAAACCTAAACCGTAAACCGTAAACCCTAAACCCTAAACCCTAAGCCCCCAGCCCTGTCAGCAGGAACTGCCGGGGCTCTGCTCCCGCGCGACAGCTGCGCACTGCGAGCGCAACGCGCTGCACATGGCCTTGAAACAGCTGTGGCTTGCCTGCATTCTGCTGTAGAAGAAGTTTATACATTATGCATGTATGTATGTATGTATGTATGTATGTAGGTAGGTAGGTGTGTAGGTACGTAGGTATGTAGGTATGTATGTATGTATGTATGTAGGTATGTATGTATGTATGTATGTATAATATACACATACACATACATCGGTCTGCATACATACATACATACATACATACATACATATATATATATTTATAGGTATACATATGAGCATTCTCCTATTTGGTCATAATTTCTTGTCTTTGTGTGTGTGTGAGACATACATACAGATAGGTAACCGGATAGACAGCCACATTGGCAGCAATGAGGATGTCGACAGTGGATCGGCAACTGCGTGGACAGGTGTCAGTCGCAGTAAGCAGAAAAGCCTTACTAGTTACCAAAATTATTCCCTAGGGCCACGTAGAGTATTATTCTACTATGATCTACCCCCAAGAATCCAAAGCACCTTTTAGGCTTTAAGGCTCCTCTAGTGGGGCTACTGACACTCGAGGTTCCTCTGTTATTGTTGTTTCTATGCAAGGTGTGCATGTGTGACGCATGACGTACATTATTAGATGTAGCTTGTGCGTAGCATGCACCGCCCCTGTGCAGAAGCAGGGACACAACAGCTTAAAATAGGGGGCAGCGTAAATTATCACTATCTGTTAGACGACGAAACAAAAATTTACCCCAAACCCGGCTCAAATTATTAAGGCTTCTATATCAAGCAGTGGATGGTCGCATGTCGTCGGGGATGGGAAGATTTCTGATGATCGGGGCAGGGCCGAGGAATGTGATGATGATAAAAGGCAGATGTAGTTGCAAGGTCTGAGTTGCATCTGGATGTGCGCGAAGTTTAGTGGAGATGCCTCAACGATTGTCATTTCTGGTCTACATCCATAGTATACTTCGGGGGCCTTTCGAAGATACTACACAATGCTAAGCTGCGCCAGAAAATCAGTATATGTCAGCCCAACTGCTTGCCCAGGAAGATGTCAACCCAAATCACACCGCTGCAGCCGTCCGCGACCAACGAGTGGGACACTGCGGACCAGCTCGGCGGCGGCATTCCATCTGACACTCAGCGCTCCAGCAGCTGGGACGACGCCGGTGCCTCTGCGCCTGCAGATCTTGTGAACGGCAAGAATCCGTCTTTGGAGATTGAGGAGAAGTCGGAGGGGCTTCCAACAGGAGGGCACGAAGACGGCCAGCCCGTGGATTCTGGCGAGGTTTTCCAGTCGCTCTCGCAAAGACGCTTCATCCGGGATGAATACCTGGAGCGGGTCCAGAACTTCTGCGATCAGGCGCAGGACAGGCATGTCGGGCACACCTTTCAAAGAGTCCGGGATGGTTGTCATTCTTTGCTGGCTATCCGTTTGTCTGAGCAGCTCCAGAAGATTGCAAAAAAATGATGCCGAACCTCTAAGATTTGGAAGTACATGCCTAGACACTAGGCTACAGAGGTGCTAGATGCTGTTAACTTTTGCGGTGATCAAACCACAATGATTGCCATAATGAACCCCTTGAAAAGACGTGAAAGTCGGACTGCTTTCGTCGTTCAAGTTCTCTACAATCCTAAACCCTGAACCCTAAACCCCTAAACCCCTAAACCCTAAGCCCTGAACCCTAAACCCTGAAACCTAAACCCTAAACTCTCACACGCGACGACAAAAAGCCCGAGGAGGGAGTGATGGAGGCGCTCTCCGTTGCTCTGAAAGTCACTCCCGGTGAGGACGCCCGGAAGTGGCTGAAGGACCGGGGTTTAGGGTGTAGGGTTTAGGGTTTAGGGGCTTTCTTTGTAGCTTGCTTGGGAGTTTAGGGTTTGGGAGGAGCCCTCAAGGGTACTTTCCTGTCGCGATTAGCATACCATGCGGCGCTAGCCACAAAATGGGAAAGGTAAGGTCTCTAGGGCTACTAACCCACGAATGATGAGAACCCTCACGGTTAGCTCCAGCTATGGGTTCATTGCACGAGGAACCCCAAACGAAGCGAAGCCTCTTTGCTGCGGCATCTTAGGTATTGTGCTTACAGGTGAGAGCTTCTGTATTCTTGGGTAACACGCCTGACGGCTTTTGCTTTGGTGCACTCGGAGTCTTTGTCGGAGACTGTAGCCAACAGGTCTGAACAAGCCAACATCGATGATTCACGTAGTGGCTAATCTTTTTGCTCACCAGACCTTTGCACTCGAGCTTCTGATTTACGGAAACAGGTCTATCAGATAGCCACCCGCTGAGAGTCAGCATGTCACAGAGCTGTAGCGCAGGTGGCTGAGGATGCCCTGCACCTTGGCACAGTCCTCTCCTATGGGAACCCTAAGCCCTCGACCTTAAAACCTCAAACCCGTTTTGGTGGTTTCGGGCATCGGTGATTGCTTAGGGCAGATCTTCCCAGCTTTCTTGCACCAGGTCGCTGTTGCGGTGCTCCCACTCTACTACAGTATCGTTACGATTATTGTTACTGCCGCTGCTTCTTCTAATGCCGGTATTAATTGTACGGCGACGGAATACCACTCGTGCAGCTCTCATCTTCGATGGCACCAAGATTGCCATCATCGTCATAAGCATCACCAGCACCGTCACCGTCACTGTCATCATCATCATCATCATCATCGTCATCATCATCATCAAGGCCAGCACCCCAGCTGTCATCCTCAACATCAGCAGCACCATCATTGTCATCGGGAGACTGTGCTGCTGCTGCCTCGGCCTTTATCTCTTTTCTGATTCGGTGCGTAATGTTCGCATTGCTAATTTCTGGGGTCTTCCTGTCCATGGTAAACACAGCTTTGATGCCGTGGGTGTTAAAGCGGGCTGCCGTGATGATAAGGAAGAGGAAGACGGTGATCAGGTTGACGGTGACTGTGATGATTCCCGGAGAAAATGCTTAAGGATCAATGATAAATAGTAGCAATAACATTAACAGTTGATGATCCTAACAGAATAGAAACAGCAATGACTTAGTATTAACAGCGACAAAATAGCCATCATACCAATAGTGTCGTTTTTTGATTGTATACATAGATCCTCTAGCTTGTGCCGACCCAAGCACGACATGACGACAGCTTGGACCATTGGAACTTCCTCCACTTGACCGGAAACAGCCAAACCCGGAGTCGTGGTCCCTGCCGTCTAAGCCCGATCCCCGTTCATGGAGGAAGTAGAGAATCTCCGAGGCAGTTCCACAATTTTTTGGAGTTTAACAGCTCTTCTGCTCTCACCGAAATCTCGAATGGTCGCACCGTTCGACCACTGATGGTACTTGTGGCCTTGATTGCTTGGAGAGTGTAGGTCGTTTTGGAGTTCTGTTTTTTTGGCGGAAAGGGGGTTCGTGGAGTTGAATCTAGCCTGTCGGGCGTGCATCGTGCTCCTTGGCAGTCCCAAGATTCTCCCAGTGTCGGGTTAGTGCCGATGCTATTTTAGGTTCAAGGTTTAGGTCTCTTGCCAATATTGCATTGGGCTTGGATTCTTGCAAGTTGCTTCGGGTGGTTGCAGTGCAGTCTCCCAGGAGAACGGCCACCGCGTCTCGCGCCCTGGACCAGCGGGCCGGACAGGTGCGGACTCTTCGTCTTCTGGGGTGCAGCCTGGAGTGCTAAAAGTCCTATATAGGGTCTATAAGGTTTCGAGGTTGACCCGGGTTTTGGGGTAAGGGCGTAGAAGGGAGTGCAAGGTTTCGGGGCCGTCTCTTTGGTCTCATAGCGTCGAGTTTTCTGGCTTGGAGGACTCGCCGTGGGCCCGGACTTGAGAAGGACGGTTTCAGAACCCAGGGAGGCTCCAGGCGGAGGCTTGAGGCTTGTATGTCTCGGGGGCTGAAAGCCTAGGCCTAGGTATAGAGTTTAGAGACTTCTTCATGGCTCGCAGTGGTTGAGCCCGCCTAATGAAGAAAGGGCCACTCGGGACTGCGCTTGGTGTGTGACCTGGATCGTTTTCCGGGTGGACCTGCAAGCCCAAACTCACAGCCCCGCACATCTAGAGTCTGGGCACATCGCACTGGATTGCTTTAGAATGGCGTCAAGAACGCCGCCAGAGGCCGTCAGGTTCTCTGGAAGGGCGGTGCAAGGGGGGGGGGTTCAGACATCAATAGCTTTGAAGCCTTCGACCTTCACAGTGGAAGCGAAACTTTCGTACAAGTTCCACACACACACAGATATATATATATACACACACACATACATATATATATATATATACACACATACATACATACATACATACATACATACATACATACACATATCTCTTTCTCTGTCTCGCTCTCATTTGGGGCATGGAGTCCTAAGTGCCGGCGCAGCCCATGTTGGGTGCACTTAAATGGGCAGCTGGCACAAAATCTACAGACATAGTGTGCGCTCACCAAACAGGGGTGGGATATAAACAGCAGTCGGAAAAGCCGTCCCACCCCCATAACAAAACCAAACATGAAGGCACATGGACACTGCATAAGAAAGCTGTCGGCTATCAAAGCACCAGACAAAGAACAGTCCAAGTTTTGGACCTAGACAGAGCAGGATCTTCCTCATGGGTATCGGATAAGGCCATCCCTACAGAGTTAACATACCCAGGATGACAAAGCACCTTCATCGAGGTGATAACGGGGACCTCAAAACAACTGCGATAAAATCAACAACAGCGCTTAACAGCAGCGTGAAGACCTAGACCGCTGGACCTCCACGCTTCAAGACAAATCGTGCTTGAATCACTCACTTGCTCACGAACTGCTAGCTAAGTCAGGATACCGGAGTCAGGGTCATCAGGTCCAACACCTCGTCGTCCGCGCATATCTCCGTAGGACTTGCAGTGTTGCCAGCTTCCAGTTTTTGATGATCCAGATGCCATCGCCTAACCGTCCACAAAATCCTTACCGAGTAGTATGCAAGCGTGTCCTCCACACCAATGTTCATGCCCACTTTGCACAGCGTGTCCCTCGAGCCCATGAACTCCATCACATCGGGGGAAGTGCGTTAGTTGCCAGCTTTCCGTTTGACGATCCAGATGCCCTCCCCTGACGAGCCTTGTTCTACTTGATAACGCACATCTGGAACGCCAGCGACTTCAAGAAGCCAGCCGCAAATTCCGCTACAGTGCAGGATGCAAGCATGTCCTGCATACCAATGTTCAATTTGGCCGCCTGACGAGCCTCTTTTCTGCTTCATGACGCGCGCCAGCGAAGCCAGCGTCTTCTTGAAACCAGCCACAAAATCCTATGCCTTGTCGTATTCGAGTGTCAGAGCGTGTCCTCCAAACCTAATGTTCAACATGGCCACCTTGCACAACCTGTCCTTCGTGACCCCAGCCGGCACTTTGGACCCTAACACGCACATTATATTCATTATATATGCACACACACACACACAGAGCTAATCTTAGGCTCTAGGCAAGCATCCAGACTTTGCAGTTGACCTCCCAGCATTCTAGTCGCCGCACGCAAGGCTGCTTCCGCTCTGTTGGCCGTGCAGAAGGCACTGTCTGCAGGCCCAAACGAGGCGAGATGACATAGAATGGAGGCTTTGAAGGCTCAACGGTTTGGGTTTAGACGTATGCTTGTATGTTGGATAGCCGATTTTATGTTCATAGTCAGAGATATCGAACAAGGAAGTAGATGCTATGGTCGAAGTTGAGATCTCCGCGACTGTTTCCAATCTTCCATAGTGCGAAGTAGAGCAGATCGTTTTTCTTCGGAACACATGTTATATATACTTTTTTTGAACGGGGTGGGCATCTGGAAGACATTCTTCATGACCGTGGAGGATAGGATATGGGGTTTTGACGAGAGGTTGAATTGCGACCCGGGCGTTCGCCATTAGCTTCCTGTTGCTGTTACATTGCACTAGTGCACCAAGTCGGCTCTGGTTCGTGCGATTTCCGGCTGGTTCCAGGTCCTGCAACGTGTACGCAGCATATAGACATCAAGGCCAAGATCCAAACTCCCAAATCTAGTACAGTATTCACCTTCCGTCTATAACCCGTCATCCTGAAACTTCGAATCCTAAACTCTTAACCCCTAAACCCTACACCCACAACCCCGAATGCTTGAGTCATTGAGTGATTGCTCTTTGCCGCAGAGGTCTGATCAGCAGTGGTACCCCTTTAGAGTCCCTTAGTATGTGGGTGGTTGTCTCTCTTAGGGTCCCTTTTGGGGTCCTTCTTATAAGGGTGCCGTACTATATTGGGGCCAAAAACAGGGACCCTAATTTAGAGAACTACCCATATCCTATACCCTGAAGCCCTGTTCTATACTTATGAAGACCTCTTTGTTGACTTGAAAGACCCCACAAGTCTCGAAAGGCGATCGGGGCAGCGGAGCGCGCGCTTGGGGATCTTTTCGTTTGGCGGGAAGCCCGGGATTTTTTTCGTTCTTGGTTGGGGGGGGGGTTTAGGGTTTGGGG